GTCATGTGCTGTCACCGGGGCGGGGGTGGTAGTGATTTTATTATATTAATTTATTTGATTCTTTTTTATCAGCTTTACTGTTTTAAATGAGGTTTTATATTCTGTAGAGTCGCCATGTGTGAATAGGCAGCAATATAAAATTCAGTGAATGAATGAATGAATGAATGAATGAATGAATGAATGAATGAATGAATGAATGAATGAATGAATAAATAAATAAATAAATAAATAAATAAATAAATAAAATGTGAACACAACTTTGAATCTGGGTTGTAAAGTACATAAGATTTTTTTTTTCACTCCATAACTTCGAATGGTTGCTAAGTGAGCGTTTGAAGGTTAAGAACTTCCTGTATACATCAAAGTGCAGGATCTCGCACTGCAAAGCACCAGCAAGATTTCAAATTGAGATCGGAAGAGGCAAAACACATCAAATGTATATATTCTTTCCTGTCACGGAAACCTTTTTAGGGCAACTGTAATATATTGCACACTGCATTGGGAGTTGCTATCTTATTTGAGTTAAACTATATAGCTCAATAAGTTGGTAACATTTGAAATGTCCTGAATTTGAGATGTGTCTATTTTTGTTGTCTTCTGTGACTTTAACGAAGCACTATCTCGCCCCCCCCCTCCAAAAAAAACGATACTCACATATGTCTGGAACATGTTATCCGTCTTTCCAACAGTTACGTTATTTATCACAATCTGTGCTACCGTATCTACCCCCTCAAAAACCAATATCACTTTTTGCCATGTGCTGCAGAAAAGATAACAAAAAACAGAATTTTGAATCATTTTATTTGTTATATTCCTTTGTTACAATTCTAATCCCACTACCAAATTCTATCATTATAACGAATCTGTGAAATAAGTTACCGTATTTTTCAGACTATAGGACACACCAAGATTTCAAACAGGTAAATACGAAAAAACAGTTTTTGTCCTCCCCAGCCCTCAGGAGCACTCTGCAGGCTTCAGCACGCCCCCGTTTTTGCCTTCCCCCAGCCCTGCTGAAACCTGCAGAGGGCTGCTGGGGGCTAGGAGAAGGCAAAAACGTCTCTGTTTTTGCGAAAAATGGTCCATTTTTCGCATAAATGTGATGTTTGGGCGGGGCTTCGGGAGGCCAAAAATGGCTGTATTCAGTGTATAAGGCACACCAACACTTCCAGGCATTTTTAAGGGAGAAAAAGGTGTGCCTTATACTCCGAAAAATACAGTAGGTGATTCATAATCCAGTACCTTGATCAGTAATTCTCCTGTTCAAAGATGTATGCTGCTGTATTCTGTGTGTGTGTGTGTTTGTGTCTGTATGTCTGTGTGTGTTATTCCTAGATAAATGCATGCAAATGTGCAGTCCAAACCTTAGTAATTTTAAATTCAGTTTTATCACATACCTGATATTCAAAGGAGCTTTGAATGTTCTGCTATATGTCCAGTTATCCAAAGAGATCCATCTGTAGGCCAGATCATTAAATCTATAGTAAGGATCCTACAAACCACATGAAACAAACAAACAAAAACTTAAAATTGAGTGATGAAATAAATTATATAGACATTCTAAAGGATATATCACATATGTGCTAGTCGTTCCTGATTCTAGGGAGCGGTACTCATCTCCGTTTCAAAACTGCAGAGCCAGCGCTGTCCGAAGACGTCTCCATGGTTATGTGGCTGGCATGACTAAATGCCGAAGGCGCAGGGAACGCTGTTACCTTCCCACCAAAGTGATCTCTATTTTTCTACTTGCATTTTTACATGCTTTCAAATGCTAGGTTGGCAGAAGCTGGGATAAGTAACAGGAGCTCACTTCGTCATACGGCGCTAGGGATTTGAACCGCCAAACTGCCAATCTTTCTGATCGACAAGCTCAGCATCTTAGCCACTGAGCCACCGCATCCCTCTCAGCAATTGCAAACAGCTATTAACTAAGGTAAATGCATTAATGCCTGATTTGCTTTCGCTCATCCCTGCTACCTGCTGTTCAATAAAAGAGAGGATTCTTCATCATATCCAGTTGATTCATTAGATTAGGGCATTTCACAAAATTATAATTTATTTACTACTATTTACTCCCAAAAGTCATAAACAATACTATAAAAAGAAGTAAAAATAAAAGACTAATGCTAAATAAGGAGGCAAAATAAACAGTATGTTAACCAGTAAAATCACACAATCAGAGAATAGACATAGTGAAACAGAATGAAAATGCAGACAGGAAAGGCAGAATAGAAATGAACATTGTTTTTAATTTGACAACACCTAAAAGAAGAACATTTCTCATATACAGTAATCCCTTCAATGAAATCACCTGAATTGCACAGGATAAAGGCAAGAATTGAAATGAGGCTTCCTTCCACCAACCTCTTTAATTCATCTCAACTTAATATGCAAGCCCAATCCTGAACCTCCTTGTACATTTATAGCAGTGGTGGGATTCAAAATATTTTACTACCAGTTCTGTGGGTGTGGCTTGGTGGGTGTGGCAGGGGAAGGATACTGCAAAATCTCCATTATTCTCCCCATCAGCTGGGACTCAGGAGGCAGAGAAGAGATGTGGGTGGGTCCAGTCAGAGGTGGTATTTACCTGTTCTCCGAACTACTCAAAATTTCCGCTACTGGTTCTCCAGAACTGGTCAGAACCTGCTGAATACCACCTCTGATTTATAGGTTGCAGGAGTTTTACATAAAAAGCTGCAGTTACTCCAGCTTTAACTCAGAAAAGCAATATGCTGTTGTTATCAGATGTGGTCAGCGTTTTCAAGGCCAAATACAAGAGAGAAACTTTCCATATACCCAAACCATTCAGCAAAATATTGACAAATGTGATGAAAACAGAAATCAAGCAGACTGCATCCAACTCCGTAACAATATAACAAATAAGTCTCCAAGCATGTGTTCTAATTGAGGCATAACAACTTATGCAATCAAGCTGTAAATATTAGCATCAGGGAGTTGGTGGTAGTAGAGATATGACACATGCTTAATAGATATAGTATATTAATCGACAAATGTGGAGAAAAATTGGGGAGAAGGGACAATTCTGTGTCCTACCTACAAAGATAGAAGATTTGGAATACCAATGATTTAGGTCTCACTTATTAAATTTGTGTAATGATCCACATCTGAAGTGGAAACTGATTTAAAGCACGCATGGGAGCTCATGTAACCCTCATCAGCAACTCCTTAAAAATCCTGTGACTTTTACACATGCTGTGCGATCCCTCAAATCACATTTGATTTAAGAGGAGACAACACTTGATACTGTACAGTGCATGAATGACTTTCTCTCCTTCAAACTTTGAAAGCTGCCCAACGTTACTGCTTTCAAAGAATGTTCATTTGACTTCTTGGTAGGATCAGATACTATACATTCACAGGGGGTGTCAATATGTGTAACATAATGAGAAAGGAAGCAGCTGTAACTTGTACTAGCAGGTTTAGCACAACCAGAAGAGTCAACAACCTAACATTAGTTGAGTAATCAGAAAGAGAAACCACCTACTGTGGAGAAATGGGTAATTTATAGAAGTAATTTCCAATTTTTTTACAAGCAGATAATTTGCCTTGCTAATGTACTACAATGTCAACTCACCCAACAAACAGAAATGAAGGTATCTATGCTGTGTAGTTTGTAGCCACAGGCATAGATCATTAAATGTAGACCACCTACTATGTAGGGAAACTATCTGTTCTATTTAATATTCAGCTTTGGTAAAGTCTCAAAAATGCAGAATTGCTCATGATGGCAACAAAACAAGGCCAATAAAAATGATCAATTGCCTACAGTAGAAATAGGAATGATATTTGAGCCCTACGGTATTTTGCTGAGAAAAAAAAAATTGCAAGCAGGAAAGAACATGGTTGAGGTGCATAAAACTGACACTATGGGGGGGGAAAGTGAATAGGGAAGGGTTTAAATATCTAGTTTTCCCTTAACTTTAGAGCACAGGGATATTCAGCAAAGTTGAACAGTAGGAGATTCTGTACAGACAAAACCAATCCCTTATATGGCATATGGAATTTGCTGCTGTAAGATGCAACAATGGATATCAGATGATTTTAAATCAGGATCAGATAAATTCACAGATGAAAAGCAACCTCCAGGACTTTTGATATTTCCAATATCAAAGGCAAAATGTGTACTGTTACTAGTTTCTATGAAATAATAGAAATCCACTGTTCCTTGTCCACATCATAGTTGGATAGACAATTTCACGGTCACCATGGAAACAGGGTAGCAGACTAGATAGTTCTAATTAAGGTCTGTTCTTGTGGGATAAGACTGATCAATTGCTTATCCCACAATAATTCTGGCCCCCTGTATGAGGTCATCAAGCAACATTGTGTGCATGACACTGCGCTGATGTTATCCATTTAGTGAAGTCTGACTGACAATTCTATGGGCCAAGGCTTTCCATGTCTTCTCACCTTGCAGTATTTCTTTGAATTTTTCTATGCTCTAGCTCAGGGGTCTCCAACCTTGCCAACTTTAAGCCTGGTGGACTTCAACTCCCAGAATTCCCCAGCCAGCTTTGCTGGCTGGGGAATTCTGGGAGTTGAAATCCGTCAGGCTTAAAGTTGACAAGGTTGGAGACCCCCACTCTAGCTGATGTCAGCTTTGATGGTGTCCAACCAACATGTTCTTTGACAGCCTGGTTTGAGCCAAGGTGGCGCAGTGGTTAAATGCAGCACTGCAGGCTACTGCTAGATCAGCAGGTCAGCAGTTCAAATCTCACCGGCTCAGGGTTGACTCAGCCTTCCATCCTTCCGAGGTGGGTAAAATGAGGACCCAGATTGTTGGGGGCAATATGCTGACTCTCTGTAAACCGCTTAGAGAGGCCTGAAAGGCCTATGAAGCGGTATATAAGTCTACTGCTATTGCTATTGCTATTCTTTTTATAACTAAATCTTCCAAACATTGCTTTCTGCAGTGAATTTCCCCACATGACATGGCCAAAGTGAGTGAGACGCAGTTTCGTGATTTTGCCTTCTAGTGACACGTCTGGTGTTACGAACTCCAGGACTAGCTTGTTAGTCGCCATTGCTATCCAAGGAATACACAGGAGCCTTCTCCAACATCACAGCGCAAATGAGTCATTTTCATCCTGTCTTGCATTTTTAACGTCCAAATTTCACAACCATAGGTAACTATGAGGATCATAACAGAGCAAACTAATCTACATCTGGTTGAAAAGCCAATGTATGAAAATATAAAATGGAAATTGTTAAGACTTTCTAGGCCTAGGAAGTAAATATCTCAGTCCTCCAATATCGCACAGCTTAACTTGATTGAAGTTTCTCATACAACATGAAATAGAATATAATAGAATAACAGAGTTGGAAGGAATCTTGGAGGTCTTCTAGTCCAATCCCTTGCTTAGGCAGGAAACCCTACACCGTTTCAGACAAATGGTTATCCAACATCTTCTTAAAGACTTCCAGTGTTGGAGCATTCACAGCTTCTGGAGGCAAGTTGTTCCACTGATTAATTGTTCTAACTGTCAGGAAATTTCTCCTCAGTTGCTTCTCTCCTTGATTAGTTTCCACACATTGCTTCTTGTCCTGCCTTCGGGTGCTTTGGAGAATAGCTTGACTCCATCTTCTTTGTGGCAGCCCCTGAGATATTGGATCACTGCTATCATGTCTCCCCTAGTCCTTCTTTTCATTAAACTAGACATACCCAGTTCCTGCAACTGTTTTTCATATGTTTTAGCCTCCAGTCCCCTAGTGGCTACATAAAAATGGTTATTGAAAACTAGAATGAAGCCACTCTGAACTGAATGACTGTGCAGTTCCTTGGTTAAACCTGTTATGTTTTCTTCCTGACTTTTTGTGCGTTGGTTTGGCCTTCATGGCTTTCAAGCCAAGGACTTGCTGAAAATAACAGATCTCCTTACCTTCTAACCCACTACTTATGGCTTATCTTGTATAAAGTAATTTCCAAGATAGAAACATTGTGTGTCTGTGTGTGTGTGTGTGTGTGTGTGTGTAGTGTATATGTATGTGTGTATACTTATACACACACACTACATACATACATACATACATACATACATACATACGTGTGTGTGTGTGTTTTTGGAGATTTTCACGGGTGTAGGTAGGCTAGTCTTGTTGTATTCGGGTCTTTTCTCGTGTAAGATTGAGATTGTCTTGGCAACGTTTCGGCGAGGTCTCACTCGCCATCCTCAGGCTGGTGTTAAGAAAGAAGGCTTCTGAAATAATGTGTATTGGTTTTCTTTTTTAAGAACTTGTATAGAAAAAGAGTTTAAAAGTAAAAATTCATTACTGGATAAGCAGAAAAACACACTTTTTAAATCTAGTTATTTAATTATTCTTTACTATAATTACATTACATCCAAGCTGCAGTTTTACATGAGATGGATTTGCAACTGATTATAATTTTCTCCCTTCTCACTTGCTCAAGGTAGAAGGGGAGTCTCTCTAAAGCTTGCCCAATTTACTAAGCCCTGACAAACAATATTGGTC